GCTGTCAGGCAAGCTAGGCCTTCAGGAGAGCTTGGTTCAATGTGCAGGTGAGCCTGTGCAGGAGAACTGTGCAGGCGAAGCTGTGCAGGTGAAGCTGTGCAGGCGAGCTGTGCAGGCAAATCTCATTCAGGCAAGCTTCAATGCTGTTAGGTGAGCTCTATCCTTACAGACGGACTTCCTTGCAGGTGAGCTTCAGACTTTACAGGCGAGCTTTAGCCTTTAGGCGAGCTACTGAACATGCTTCAAAGAATAGGCTATAACTTTCAAACCGTAAGTCAGAGGTAATCGTTAATGTGATAGGAATTGCCGCAATCGGAGCAACTTTATGGACCTACCGCTCCATTGAAGAGAGTCGATAAGTAGATTCTGGTCAGAGGTGTGATGTTTACATGACAGGGATTGTCACGATCGGAACGACTTTGAGGACTTACCATCCTATTGAAGAGGATTAGTAAGTTTATTTTGTCAGAGGTATAGTGTTAACATTATAGTGGGAGTTTGTTGCGATTTGAGCAACTTTGTGGACCTACCATCCTATTGAAGAGGACTGGTAAGTTGATTTGTCAGAGGTGACTGTTAACGTGACAGTGGGAGTGGTCCCATCGTCCTATTGGAGAGGATCGACGGGGAAATTTTGGAGGAGACTATCTGAGGTAATGGTTAATTTGATAGTCTTACTAGATCCATTGTCCAGTTGAACAAAACTAAGGGAGAAATGGCTATCATAGGTGGCAGTTAACTTGATAGTTTCGGGGACCCGCCATCTTATTAGAAAGGATCGGTGAGGGAATTTCGCTTTGGTCCTAACTATAGGAAGGTTTGACCAAGTGGAAGATTTGGGATGCACCGGACTGTGAGAAGGTTTGATCGTCCAGAAAGTTGACCTTTCATTCTTGGAAGGCATCGAAAGGGGAAGTGGTTTCCACTACCAAAGTGAAATTGCTTTGGTCATCATCTCCTTCAAATCCACATAGCTCTTCAGCATCCATACGCTAGAGCATGCTCTCGACTTGTTCTCCTTGGTGGATTAAGTCTTTCCATGAGCATGCTATGACCGTGCTTATGTTGGACAGAATGTTGATGGAGAGATTGTTCCAGCACATCTCAATGAGAGTGGCCTCGGAAATCCGATCATGTGTATACATCGATCGGTTCCTGAACCTCTTGACAAAGTTTCTTACAGACTCTGTCTTCTTCTGCTTTGTAGCTAGCAGGGTGGTCATAGATACTTCTTTATCATCGTCGAAGAATCTGGCCACGAAGAGTCGTTCTATGTCCTTCCAGCAAGTGATGGATCCAGGGTTCAATCTGCGGAACCATCCAAAAGCGACCCCCTTGAGGGTACCAATGAACAGTTGAGTCATAACGGGATCATTCCCCACTATGTATCCAATTTGCGCCTGGAAGTAGTAAATGTGCTGGGTAGGAGAACCCTTGCCATCGAACTGTAGGAGGTCCAGTGGCTAAAACTTCACCGGGTAGGAGACTGTATCCCATTCGATTGGATACGGTCTGACGACCCCCAGCTCATTCATGTGCTTCTGGAGCTTCAAGGCATCGAGTTGACTTTGGAACTCGTTGAGCCTTTTGTCCCTCGGATTATGATCCGAAGATGACGCTCCTCTAGATGACGAAGCCCGTGAAGTCCTCTCTCTTCTTCTTCTTCTTCTTCTCGCTCAGAAGCTGTTCCAACATCTCCTTCAGGGAGTTGATGGTTTCTTGTTGCTCGTCGAGTCTTCTGGATATCTCATCAGGGGTGTTGGTCATGTACACTTCCGCGCCTTCACCCTGAATAGAGCTTGAAGCCTGTGACATTGCCACTGCCGAGCAATCATCAGCGTCATCGTTAGAGACCAGTGCTAGGCACGTGTAGTCAAACGGAATGGCTACCCCCATTTGGGCATGAGTGCGTTGGTGGATATCTGAACGCTCAATAGCCTTGGACTTCCCTGTCTCATTGACAGTTACGGCGGGGAGCTCCACATCATCGGAAGTCTCGTAGGGCGTGCGTTTGCAAGTCAATCGTCCTCTGAGATCCACCGTAGGTTGATAGTGACAACCCCCAGCATCGGACGTGAAGTTGCACGAAGGAGGCTCAAGGGAGCCGACATAAGGACACTTGGGAAATTCCTTAAGTGTCGGATCCAACCGACCTCGCCTAGACAGGCGAGGTATGGAATGTGGGCGATCTCTAGCCGACTAGAAGTGAGCTCGAACATTTGGGCGACCTTCAGCCGACTTCTGGCGAGGTCTAGAATCTGGGAGACCTTCAGCCAACTGCTGGCGAGGTCGAGCCGACTGGTCATTTAGGTGAGTTTCAAGGTGAGCTCTAGCCTCGGCCAACTACTGGTGCCCAAATGGAGGAGACTCAAGGGAGTCCAAATAGGAACACTTGGGAAATTTCCCAAGCGTTGGTGGCCATTTGGATGAACTACGGGCAGCTTGATCCATTGGGAGAGGGGGTACGTACGCAACCATGTTGGTACATCCGTGTTTGGAGAGACGACGCATAGGTGCTCTTTGTTTGGTGTCAGCTCAGTTTTGGCAAAATTTCGCCGAGGTGGAGAATTATGGAGAAAACCAGAAAAAACTAGTTTTTCTGTTATAAGTCGACTCACGCACATGCATAAGTCGACTTATGGTAAGTCGACTTGTGTCTGTGCACGAGTCGTCTTACGTTCTGCTCTGGAGTTATTATTTTTCGCTCTGTCAAGTCGATTTGTGAAGCCTGTTAAGTTGACTTACGAACTGTTCTCCAGTTGCTGTTTTTTTCTTTGCCAAGTCGACTTATGGCACCTGTTAAGTCCACTTATGACGGGTTTTTGCACAGTTTGGTTTCATGTTTAGATTTTGTTTGAGTTTCTGTTTGGATATAAATAGGGACATGATTTTCTAGGGTTAAAAACAACAGAGATTTGGGAGATTCAGAGAGGCTATTGAGCATTGTGAGAGGGAGATATTGTGAGCAAGTTGAGAGTTTTGGTTGAGGGAGATTCAGAGAGGCTATTGAGCATTGTGAGAGGGAGATATTGTGAGCAAGTTGAGAGTTTTGGTTGAGGGTTAGTTTGAGTGATTTTGTGGCATTGTGAGAGGGAGATATTGTGAGCAAGTTGAGAGTTTTGGTTGAGGGTTAGTTTGAGTGATTTTGTGTGATTGTAACCATTTGTACTCTCCTTGATTTAGTGGAATCTCCTCATCATCTCCCCGTGGACGTAGGCAAGTTGCCGAACCACGTATATCTCCGTGTTTGGTTGGATTTGTCGTATTTGGATTGGATTGTGCTTGTGTGTGGTTCATCTTCTCCCTGTGATCATAGACTCGTTTGGTGTGCACGTGCACACTTCCGCATAGGCGCGCGACATTCCTAACGCCCATCGATGAGTACCAAATGAGAGTTTGTTATTACTCAAACAAGAGCTATTGTACAAATTACGTCCTAACACTCTTGACCAAAGTGGGATCAAGGTGGATCCGCTACTGATTCCATATGCTTCAACGACTAATGGAGGCGCGTGCTACCTTTTCTACTTTCAGCCATGGAAAACATAATCTCTCCTTTACTATCCCTTAGCACCAGACCAATACCAAATCTTCCCTATAGATTACAAAAGGGCAGCATCGGTTTTTAACTTATATTTTCCATCTGGAAGAGGCTTCCATTTCACCGCAACGCATTAAACCAGACTTTTTATCGTAGCTCACTTTGTGTTTTTCAAACTTTCAACCATGCTTTTCATTATTACGATCTTTCCCTATCGACAATAATGGTTCATAAAAATAGATCCAATTGCAAATTTTTATGTACTCAACACCACTTTAATCATAAAAGCAAGGAAATGACCTTCTCTACCAACCTCTAGTGGTCGATCTAATTTATCTGCCACGCACACCGAAACCTCCCTTGCCTTCGGACATCCAAATAAAGTGTGATGTATAGATTCCTGCTTAACCCCGCAGAACTTGCACCATACATATTTTACAGCATCTTGGCACTATACATTAGTCTTTAATCTAAATCAATAAGAAAATATGTATAAAAATCCAATAAGTACTAGGGACTCAAAATCTGATCCGAATTCTAATTGTAATCCAAAATCCTTTTCGGACCAGTTTTATTTTCGACATCTATTTTTAAATTGAAGCAGTTACTTGAAACACAGTGTGTTTGGGAGTTTACTAGGGAAAAGAAAGGGAAGATAAAATAGGGGAATTGAAGGTAGAGAGAAGAGGAGGGGAAAATATAATATCTTATTTGGAAGTTTAGTAAAGGAAATGGAGGAAAACTCGTTTTATCATGGTTGGGAGTTTTAGAGCCTGTTTGGATTTGTAGGGGGTGAAGGGAAGTTAAGGGAAACTAGGTAAGAGAATGGAAGGGAAGGGAAGGGAGTTTCCTTCCCCTTGGTTACACCCCAATTTGGGGGGCAACAAATTTTATATTATTAGGGGGTGAACCAAGAGGAACTATGGTGAATAACTTCACCTCCTAAATGTTCCCAAACAAGGTGGATGGAGGTGAATGGTTCCCCTAACTTCCCTTCACCCTTATTCCTCTCAATCCAAACAAGCCCTTAGTTTAGGAAAGGGAAGGAAAAGAAAATATATTATAATTAAAATTTAGCTGTTGATTCATAGTAATAAATGGTAAACGGTCAAACTTCTTTTATAACTATTTCCCCCTCCCTTTCCCTCCCTCCTCTATATCCATATTTTATTTATGTGAATTTCCCCTTCCTTCCCTTACATTACCTCTCTCAAAAAACTCCCAAAGTGAATTCCCATATTATCTTCCCCTACCTCCATCCAAACACACCTTTAATGAGTGCAAGCAATTCTTGGATGAAGTTTTCATACGTGCAAATATTAATATAACAGGGACTAACATGCGAGAAACCCCTCTCTGTAAACAGTAAATAACTGATCCCGGGACAGTTCCGAAAATCAACGATAATATTTTCAAACTCCTCCCGCCTTTCCCGCTCCGCTGTTGGAATCCCCAAAAAACCCGCCCCCATTCCTTGGAGCCTTAATCCCTGTACAAATGATATCCCATTTGCTCTTCAATTTCAATTAGTTATTTATTTTCCCTCTTCATTTTCTTCTTCTTCTTGCTGCTGTTGTTTTGAATAAAAAAAAAATCATGGAACAAAAGCACGTCTTGATGTCGGCCCTAGGTTTAGGGCTCGGCGTCGGAGTGGGCCTTGGCATTGGACAGAGCAAATGGGCTGGCGGCGCTCCGCCCACACAGTCTTCGGGGATGACGCCGGAGAGAGTCGCCGAGGAACTCATGAGGATGGTTGTTGATGGGAGGGATAGTAGCGTTACGTTTGAAGAATTTCCGTATTATCTCAGGTAAAACCTTAAATAATTACATTTTTCTTTTCTATTGACTGGAAAATGGGTAACTAGGCCATTAATTTGTGAAAACTACAATCAAATTGTGGGTAAACCGCAACTACGTAAATTCCATTTTATTTTATTTATTTTTTTTTTTTTGTAATCGGAATTTATCAAGGTTTTGGGACATTTCCAAATTGAGACATCTTTTGTCCCGCAAGCAGGGCAAGGTGCCCGCATAATTTATTGACTAGAAAAATAGATATGAAATATATTTCAATGTAAGAAAGATTAGAAGGCGAGAAAGACTAATATCATTTTCTAAATACATGGGCATGACTCATGTTGCTCCAGCCTCCAAGTCGGTGTAAAATGATGTCACGCCACAATGAAGATGTTCGTATGGCAAAAAGTCGAAGGGTGTCTAATCTCCGAGCTTCTTGTTAGAAAAACACTACTATTTCATTAAAGCGATACTACTTAAATTCCAAAATCTTGGAAATGTTTAAAGAAAACCAATTTGGGTTTTCAAATTGTTTGTTATAGGTTTAATTGGTAGAGTGGAGGGATTTTAAACATAAAGAGGCGTAGATAATTCCCAAAATAATATGAATGGCTTTAAAAAGGCTTCAAATATTTTTTTTTAAAAATACCCATTTCAGTAGCACATTGTCAGATTCCAAGATGAATTTTAACGGCTTTGAAAATTTTACGATGTATTTATTACCTTTGAAAATTTTGAACACGCTAGTATAATTTTTTTAAAATTAATTATTGCGCAATTAATTGGGCAGTCTTCTCATAACCAAGAAAGAAAGATGTCAAGATCAATTTTTTGAGGAAAAAACATTTGCATAATTTCTGGACTATATTAAATATACAGAAATTAAGTGTAATAACTTCCTTATAATAAAGAATTACCCATGGGTATTTTACACGTTGGGATGATATGCGACACAATATGTGCAAATATTATAGCAGTTTTATGTGATTCAACTCTTTGTAACATAATTTCCGGGAGCTGCGATGATTGTTGGGGAACATGCTTTTATATTTCCAATGGTTATAGGTGTGCATAGTCCTTGACTCTTTGATAGTTATTTCATAGAAAATTGGAGGTTCTATCTGATAATTTTATACCTGTATTCAATCAGAAAGAAAATTTTACATCTGTGCTGTTTTTTATTGCATCATTTTTGTTCTGAAGCTTTTTCATTCTTGTGAAATTCACAGTGAGCAGACTAGAGTTTTATTGACGAGTGCTGCTTTTGTGCACTTGCAACAAGCAGACTTTTCCAAGCACATGAGAAATCTTTCTCCTGCAAGTCGGACCATCTTGCTCTCTGGCCCTACAGGTAAATCATCTGGAAGGAAAAAAGAAATCGTATATTTGTTTAGATCCTAAATCTCTCTCTCCTAATACACTAACCCGTCTGTGCTCTTTGTGAAGAGTCATACCAGCAAATGCTTGCAAAGGGTCTAGCTCACTTCTTTGGTTCCAAGTTGTTGTTACTTGATATTTCAGATTTTGGACTTAGGGTAAGTTGATAATTAACTCATATTTGTTGTTAGCATATCTAAAATAGTAATTAAAGAATATACGTTCTCTTACAGATTCAAAGCAAATTCGGTGCTGCCAACAAAGAATCTGTAACATTCTCAAAATCTGAAAATGAAGTTGCTTGTTTATTTGATGAATTCCATTCATCTGTAATTACTAATTTATTTCATTTAATCATTGAACTTTCATTTTGTAGTCAATGAAAAGATCCATCTCAGAGACGACACTTGAACGAATGTCTGGTTTATTTGAATCTTTTTCTATGCTTTCTCAAGGGGAGGGACGCAAAGGTATGTTTGTCTTAGTCACCTGTTTTCATCCCTTTTTCCTGAAACATAATTTAGCTTGCTTCAAATATAATTTCTAGAGTCCGCATCATGTTTACACGGATATTTAATGCATGATATCATGATTGTGATTGTTTCTTAGTATACCTAAAAATGGTCATTCTCTTTGTTCTATGTTAGCATGGTTGCTCCATTCTCATTATTAGTTTACTGTCAGATTCGGATAAATGTATGTGAATTTGTTTTAGACCATAGTGTTATATATGTATGTGTGTGAACAAGCACATTTGTTTTTTCTGTTTGTGTGTGTGTTTGTATATGCAACTGTGGTCTCTTGTGATTTAAAGCTACCTGTACTAATATTCTCACATATATACTGTACATACACTTATTCTGTCATATTGTTATATTAATAAAAATCTATACGGAGCTAGTTGAATATCTAGATATGATATACAAGGCTTCAAACATTTCAGAAGACACTTTTATGAATAAACTAACTTATGCCATATTCTTTTGTCGTGTTAATATAACTAGGGAAATTGGGGTAGTTTATAACCCTCCTTAAATCTTTTCTGTAAATGACTTGATAAGCTTGGATAGTATTGTCTTTATTTTTCTTGCATGAATTCTTTTTTCGTTATTATTGATGTTGAAGTTCTTTTCAGGATCATTGCGAAGACAGAATAGTAGTTTTGATATGAGGTAAGTGTAGCCTTAATTGTTTCCATGTTAATATAAATTAATTTATAATTCTCTTATATAATACTTAATCATAATGTGCACGTCATTTCAGGGATTCAGAAGGCGCAAATAGAATGAAGAGGCTACGAAGAAATGCCTCTGCTTCAGCTGATATGAGTAACCTTGCTCAGTTCCCTCCTACTTCAGGTAGTTATGTCAGTGAGACTAAAAGATCAAGCTCTCAATTATTATGCATGTCGACAACGGGGTTTGCATTTAAATATTTAGAGTTTTCCTTAAATATAAAAATTCTTAATATTTCAATATATCTTAATATGCTATGTATATTTAAACATTTGATTTGGGTATATATATCTTAACATATACCTGAAGGCTTGTGTCATGAGACATTCTAAAATTTGAACAAATTGCCATTGATTGCATGATTTACATTGCTCGTCAATGCAACTAATTATCCATGGGTAATCTTTTCCTTAGATGCAAATGATAATTGTCGTCCTCATAGTTACTGTCAAATTTCAGTTCCATCAAAACGCACCGGGAGCTGGCCTTTCGATGAAAAGCTTCTTATTCAATCATTATACAAGGTACTTATTTCTTCTGTTCATCTCTTGAATATGATGAATCTTATATGTTCATGAAAGCAGGGTATATCCATTAAGTCTAGTAAAAAAAATCTGTGAGTTTATTGAAAATGCTTACTTAATAAGGGGATGATGTGCATGTTGATGTTCAGGTTCTTGTTTCTGTGTCCAAAGCCGCTCCCATTGTCCTGTATATAAGAGATATTGATAGTCTTCTGCTTCACTCCCAAAGGATATATTCCTTATTCGAGAGAATGCTTCAAAATCTATCTGGGCCAGTGTTGATACTTGGTTCGAGGAAGATGAAATCAGACAGTGATTCTAATGTAGTGGATGAGAGGCTTTCTGTTTTATTCCCTTATAATATTGAGATCAAGCCTCCAGAAGATGAGAACCAGAATCTCAGTTGGAAGTCCCAGCTAGATGAAGACATGAAAATGATGCAATATCAGGATAATAGAAACCATATCGCAGAGGTTCTTGCAGCAAATGATATTGATTGTGATGATTTGGGCTCAATCTGCCTAGCAGATGCTATAGTTCTCGGTAAATACATTGACGAAATCGTGGTTTCAGCTGTTTCTTATCATTTGATGAAAACCAAGAATCCCGAATACAGAAATGGAAAGCTTGTTATATCAACAGAGAGGTTGGATACTATTATGCTCTACTTTATTTTGGGCAAATTACAATAAACATCCTTCAACTATATCTTGGTTTTCAGGAAACCTAGGCTTAAAAAAAAAATTCACCATCTATGTCTGTTAATAAACCATAAATTTTTAATGGGGAAAGGAAGAAACTAGAGGGGAAAAATAAAGTTCTCGCCTCCTTGCATAATGTAAAATCTATTTGTTTTATCAATAGCCTAGAATTTGGTGCATGCAGACATACGGACGAACATCTGGAGAGCATATCCCCATTATGAAACTAACAGTTTCATTTATGATCATAGATTTGGGATATTTTCGTTGGAATTTTTAGATGAGGTGGTTTATATACAGAGTATAAACTGAGGAGGCTACTAATAATTTCCCCCTTTATTTTCTTTATTTGGTTTTGCATTTTCCTCGTTTTATTATATTTTCGCTTCTTGTAACAGTCTCTCACATGGACTGAGTATATTCCAAGGAAGTAAGCATAGCAAGAACGGTAGTCAAAAGGAGGCAAACGTTGAAACATCAAAGGTGTGTTAATTACCTTTCTACTGACCCAAATTCAGTTCGATTTTAAAGGTTTATATACCAGCATGGTTTCCTTTTATCTTTGTAGGAGGCTGGGAAAGGAGCTGTTCCCGCTGCTGGAGCGTCTGTTGCAAAACCTGAAGCTCCAGTATCTGGAAACAAAAGCGAAACAGAAAAGCCAGCTCCAGTAGCCAAGGCGGATGTTAGCTGAAGCTCCAGTATCTGGAAACAAAAGCGAAACAGAAAAGCCAGCTCCAGTAGCCAAGGCGGATGTTAGCGCTTCACCTTTACCTCCAAAAGCAATGCGAAACAGAAAAGCCAGCTCCAGTAGCCAAGGCGGATGTTAGCGCTTCACCTTTACCTCCAAAAGCAACTGTAAGTTTCCTTTTTCTGTTTTTCCAAAGAGGATTCACATTGGCATTACTCAGGGTTGCATATTTTATATGCAAATTTACTGACACTTGACACTTGACTTAAACTATACGCTTGAGCTTAGAACCCTTCCCAAAGTTGATAGAAATGCATGATGATCCATGCATTTGATTGTATATGTGCTGATTGTGGTCTACAATATTTTGAACAACTATATAAGAACAATTCTTTACAAAAAATTTGTTATCTAGATTAAACCTTTTACTCGCTACACAGGATTGAAAGCGTCGGCTATTATACAGACTTCTATTCTGGGAAAGCCCCGTGAAAAGATTTGGCTGATTCTTTATCCATTTGTCAAGCTGGCACCCATCTCTAAATTAAATATTTATTAAAAAAACACCTCTGAGTTCGTAGTTGAGGAGAGAATATAGGCAGAAAGTCTGGTTATGAATCTAATAGACTTGCATACACGTATACTCAAGTGCACTAAAGAGACTGTTGTTATAGGATTGAATTGGTCTCTGAGGCAGGATATGAGAATCATAAACATATCTCTGGCTTTTCCCTAAACATCAAAGTACTGTTTTTTCGACGATAAGGAAGGCTAAATTCAATTTCTTTTCATGTGTTTTTTCTTTGTTCTCAATCTTTTGTCTTTGGCAAGAACTGAAAGCTAATTTTTTTTGTTCTTGCCTGATAGTGAGGGTAAAATATGACAGATATGGATCATATGCAGCTGCGATATGCACATAAGTCGCTAATAGGAGAATACCTGTCAATCTGCGACCTATTTGGGATGTCGTTAGGACTATCATCATACTATTATTATTGTTGTTGCTGCTTCTGTTGTTGTTGTTGATCAGCATTGTCATGGTTGTAGTTACTTTTCTTCTTTTTGTCGTCGTTGTTACTGCTACCGCTGCTGTTACAATGTCTAAGGCTACTGCTGTTGATTCCTTTCTCTGTCTGATTATAGGAAGTTGCTCCAGACAATGAATTTGAGAAGCGTATCAGACCCGAGGTCATCCCAGCAAGTGAAATTGGAGTAACTTTTGAGGATATAGGTGCCCTAGATGATATCAAAGAATCTCTTCAGGAGCTTGTCATGCTTCCACTCCGAAGACCTGACCTCTTCAAAGGTGGTCTCCTAAAGCCCTGCAGAGGAATTTTACTCTTTGGACCTCCTGGAACAGGGAAGACAATGTTGGCAAAAGCCATAGCCAATGAAGCAGGAGCAAGTTTTATTAATGCATCAATGTCTGCTATAACTTCAAAATGGTTTGGTGAAGACGAGAAAAATGTCAGAGCTTTGTTTACACTGGCAGCAAAGATATCTCCGACTATAATTTTTGTCGATGAAGTTGATAGCATGCTCGGACAGCGAACTAGGGTTGGAGAACACGAGGCAATGAGGAAAATCAAGAATGAGTTCATGACGCAGTGGGATGGGCTTTTAACAAAGCCTGAGGAAAGAATCCTTGTTCTTGCAGCAACAAACAGACCGTTTGATCTTGATGAAGCAATTATTAGGAGGTTTGAACGCAGGTCTGTAAGATTCTTTTGTCATCTTTTTAAAGAAAGGTCAAGAGTCTGTGATTTATTGATAATAAAAAAGGACTACAAGTTTGTTATGGCCTTCTATTTCTATGCACCAGAAGAATCAGATAACTAAGCCACAATTCCACTGGAAGGGAGATATTTTCATCAGTCTGAGATTTTTTTTGGTCATTTTAGGATAAAAGTTTATATATATTCTTTTTATATCTCAAACATGTCTTTATTTGAGCAGAATAATGGTTGGCCTGCCGTCGACAGAGAACAGAGAACTGATTTTGAAGACATTGCTGTCAAAAGAAAAGGTTGACGAAGGGCTCGACTATAAGGAACTGGCTACCATGACAGAAGGATACAGTGGCAGTGATCTCAAGGTTTGCAGATTTCTTTGTGCTTCTACTAATTAAAATATAAGTTTATATATTAACTGAAGTTATTTTTGGAAAACAGAACTTCTGCACTACAGCAGCGTATCGTCCTGTCAGGGAGCTAATCCAGAGAGAGAGACTGAAAGAATTGGTAGCTGTTATTTTTTATTTCCTGTATTAGTATTTCTCATTATAGATTTCTTCAGTCTGGAATTAATGCACCGAGTAACCAAAGGAGCCAAATAATCAGACGTTTAATCTTCTCTGTTACATTTTCACTATTCTGCATTATTTCAGACTAACAAGCGAAGTTTCAAGCTAGTTTAACGGCATTGACCAATTTAATTTAAGTCCAATCTTATTTTCTATATACTTGGCTTTTATTTTCTAAACATTCACAACTTTCTAAGTCTCTATTTCTTTGTGCTTTATCAATACCAGGAGAAGAAAAAGAGGGAGGACAGAGGAGAGGCTCCAGAGGCTTTGGAAAATAAGGAAGAAGCTGGGAAAGCATCAATCTATCTTAGGCCATTAAACATGGAAGACATGAAACAAGCAAAGAAACAGGTAAGTATAATTTTCTGCTTCGAACGAATCCCAGCACAGGAGCGTATGATGCTTATCCTATTCTTAACCATTGCTTATTGATATATTTTCCATGATATTTTTCACTAGTTATCTGTTCTCAGTAGAATAGATACTGAGTCACACATTCAGAAATATTTTTTTAGTTTAAGCCGAAGCTGATTTTATGAATTTGCACTCACTTTATTACTGGCATAACGCAGGTTGCAGCCAGTTTTGCTGCGTCGGGTTCTATAATGAGTGAGCTCAAGCAATGGAATGATTTATATGGGGAAGGGGGCTCAAGGAAGAAAGAGCAGCTAACTTATTTCCTATAAATATGGACATGTACATAACAAAAGCACGAGCCTTTCTTCTAACTGTATGGGTATACAAACAGATTTAGGTTGTTCCGTTTGGGTTGTAACGAGAATGTTGTTTCTTCACTTCCCCTTGTATCGATACATGTATTTATTTGTATTCTATTGTACTGTAATGTTTTTTGTCTTGTAACTTACTGCAAGAAAAGCAAGTGAAAGAAATGTTAGGAGATAGCAAGCCAAAGGCAAAGTTTGAGGTTACTGACAGAAGCAGTGATTTCTTGTGTTATTAGTTTGACTTGTGCCACTATTTGGTGTTATTTTTGCTGGTAGCACCTTTAGTCCTTGCCTGCGAGAAGAAATATAAAGCTTCCCCCTCTATCTTGAATGCTGCCTTAACCTTTACCTATATTGAATTTGCAATTAGGTTCAGTACTGTCGTAGAGTCTTAGAGTTCAAAATGTGAAATTCAATGCCTTTCTAGATTTAATAATAATAATAATAATAACACTTCTCAATCATAATAACTGCAAACGTTCACCTATGAAAAATGAGAAGCCATAGAACATGCTACATTAGACTGAAGACAGGAATCAAATTAAATATTTTGTGAACCTGGCAGGCAAAAAGAAAGAAAGAACGACAAAAAAAAGAGAGATGGTTACAAGAACTTTTCATGGAGAAGAACATCGCACTCTATATTATGGTTTTAGTCTTCAAAAATCAAAGATGAAAATCATTCTCAAGTCATTTGTATCGTCTACGAATTCCATAATGGAAGCACCAAAACACGTATTCAAGCAAGCTGACGCACAAAGATGCATCTGATGGCACCATTTGAAGACGATCAATATCACAAACTCCCTTAGTTGCGATAGTTTATCAAACTGAAAATATAAAGTATTGCAGAACTCATAATAAAACTCATCGAAAAGCAACATAATATACAGAGAATGAACATCACTTGCAAAAAACTATTCTTGCCAACCTGTGCCAGAACAAACTAACAGCCCAGATAATACTTCAACACATGCTAAAGATTTTTGTTTTTCAAAGGACCTCTAGGGATCTTATTGAGAACCTTGGCAACGAACAGCGCATATTGTTTCTTGATTTCTGCCATTGCTTTTTTCTGCAAAGGGATCAACTTTACTTTCATGCTTCTCATAGAGAACAGGCAATGCGTGCAATGTAACGAACACTGGCTTAACACCCACAAAAAAGGGGGACACACCAATTAGTAAGTAATATATATAAAGTGCAACATCAACAGCAAAGCTTATATACCAAAATTTTGGGGCCAACTAACTACGTGAATCACATTCTTTAATTATGCTCTGTTGTTAAGAACAATTTCATACATTTTGTTAACTATTGTTGGAAATTTATCAAATAAATAAAGATTATAGCATGAATTTAAACCCGGAAATTAAATAAATAATACATCAAAGATAGATAATATAAATTAGAGAAACAGGCCTGACGGGAGCAGTCGTGTAAACACTGCCCTAGAAGATTGAGGACCCGCCTATCGCCCTGGCGCTGATGATCCCTTCTCCCCTAGCGGTAAAACCCCCCGGAAACGGCCCGGTCGCCCTGGCGCTGATGATCCCTTCTCCCCTAGCGGTAAAACCCCCCGGAAACGGCCCGGTCGCCCTGGCGCTGATGATCCCTTCTCCCCTAGCGGTAAAACCCCCCGGAAACGGCCCGGTCGCCCTGGCGCTGATGATCCCTTCTCCCCTAGCGGTAAAACCCCCCGGAAACGGCCCGGTCGCCCTGGCGCTGATGATCCCTTCTCCCCTAGCGGTAAAACCCCCCGGAAACGGCCCGGTCGCCCTGGCGCTGATGATCCCTTCTCCCCTAGCGGTAAAACCCCCCGGAAACGGCCCGGTCGCCCTGGCGCTGATGATCCCTTCTCCCCTAGCGGTAAAACCCCCCGGAAACGGCCCGGTCGCCCTGGCGCTGATGATCCCTTCTCCCCTAGCGGTAAAACCCCCCGGAAACGGCCCGGTCGCCCTGGCGCTGATGATCCCTTCTCCCCTAGCGGTAAAACCCCCCGGAAACGGCCCGGTCGCCCTGGCGCTGATGATCCCTTCTCCCCTAGCGGTAAAACCCCCCGGAAACGGCCCGGTCGCCCTGGCGCTGATGATCCCTTCTCCCCTAGCGGTAAAACCCCCCGGAAACGGCCCGGTCGCCCTGGCGCTGATGATCCCTTCTCCCCTAGCGGTAAAACCCCCCGGAAACGGCCCGGTCGCCCTGGCGCTGATGATCCCTTCTCCCCTAGCGGTAAAACCCCCCGGAAACGGCCCGGTCGCCCTGGCGCTGATGATCCCTTCTCCCCTAGCGGTAAAACCCCCCGGAAACGGCCCGGTCGCCCTGGCGCTGATGATCCCTTCTCCCCTAGCGGTAAAACCCCCCGGAAACGGCCCGGTCGCCCTGGCGCTGATGATCCCTTCTCCCCTAGCGGTAAAACCCCCCGGAAACGGCCCGGTCGCCCTGGCGCTGATGATCCCTTCTCCCCTAGCGGTAAAACCCCCCGGAAACGGCCCGGTCGCCCTGGCGCTGATGATCCCTTCTCCCCTAGCGGTAAAACCCCCCGGAAACGGCCCGGTCGCCCTGGCGCTGATGATCCCTTCTCCCCTAGCGGTAAAACCCCCCGGAAACGGCCCGGTCGCCCTGGCGCTGATGATCCCTTCTCCCCTAGCGGTAAAACCCCCCGGAAACGGCCCGGTCGCCCTGGCGCTGATGATCCCTTCTCCCCTAGCGGTAAAACCCCCCGGAAACGGCCCGGTCGCCCTGGCGCTGATGATCCCTTCTCCCCTAGCGGTAAAACCCCCCGGAAACGGCCCGGTCGCCCTGGCGCTGATGATCCCTTCTCCCCTAGCGGTAAAACCCCCCGGAAACGGCCCGGTCGCCCTGGCGCTGATGATCCCTTCTCCCCTAGCGGTAAAACCCCCCGGAAACGGCCCGGTCGCCCTGGCGCTGATGATCCCTTCTCCCCTAGCGGTAAAACCCCCCGGAAACGGCCCGGTCGCCCTGGCGCTGATGATCCCTTCTCCCCTAGCGGTAAAACCCCCCGGAAACGGCCCGGTCGCCCTGGCGCTGATGATCCCTTCTCCCCTAGCGGTAAAACCCCCCGGAAACGGCCCGGTCGCCCTGGCGCTGATGATCCCTTCTCCCCTAGCGGTAAAACCCCCCGGAAACGGCCCGGTCGCCCTGGCGCTGATGATCCCTTCTCCCCTAGCGGTAAAACCCCCCGGAAACGGCCCGGTCGCCCTGGCGCTGATGATCCCTTCTCCCCTAGCGGTAAAACCCCCCGGAAACGGCCCGGTCGCCCTGGCGCTGATGATCCCTTCTCCCCTAGCGGTAAAACCCCCCGGAAACGGCCCGGTCGCCCTGGCGCTGATGATCCCTTCTCCCCTAGCGGTAAAACCCCCCGGAAACGGCCCGGTCGCCCTGGCGCTGATGATCCCTTCTCCCCTAGCGGTAAAACCCCCCGGAAACGGCCCGGTCGCCCTGGCGCTGATGATCCCTTCTCCCCTAGCGGTAAAACCCCCCGGAAACGGCCCGGTCGCCCTGGCGCTGATGATCCCTTCTCCCCTAGCGGTAAAACCCCCCGGAAACGGCCCGGTCGCCCTGGCGCTGATGATCCCTTCTCCCCTAGCGGTAAAACCCCCCGGAAACGGCCCGGTCGCCCTGGCGCTGATGATCCCTTCTCCCCTAGCGGTAAAACCCCCCGGAAACGGCCCGGTCGCCCTGGCGCTGATGATCCCTTCTCCCCTAGCGGTAAAACCCCCCGGAAACGGCCCGGTCGCCCTGGCGCTGATGATCCCTTCTCCCCTAGCGGTAAAACCCCCCGGAAACGGCCCGGTCGCCCTGGCGCTGATGATCCCTTCTCCCCTAGCGGTAAAACCCCCCGGAAACGGCCCGGTCGCCCTGGCGCTGATGATCCCTTCTCCCCTAGCGGTAAAACCCCCCGGAAACGGCCCGGTCGCCCTGGCGCTGATGATCCCTTCTCCCCTAGCGGTAAAACCCCCCGGAAACGGCCCGGTCGCCCTGGCGCTGATGATCCCTTCTCCCCTAGCGGTAAAACCCCCCGGAAACGGCCCGGTCGCCCTGGCGCTGATGATCCCTTCTCCCCTAGCGGTAAAACCCCCCGGAAACGGCCCGGTCGCCCTGGCGCTGATGATCCCTTCTCCCCTAGCGGTAAAACCCCCCGGAAACGGCCCGGTCGCCCTGGCGCTGATGATCCCTTCTCCCCTAGCGGTAAAACCAAAATTAAACAGTAACGTCATTTTTTAAGAATGAACAGTAAACTTTTTTTAAAACATTAAAAACTGTTAAAAATGAACAGTAATGTTTTTTTTAAATAAAATTAAAATCTGTTTTTTTAATGAACAGTAAATTATTTTATAATGAGCAACAATTCTGATTAAATTGCGAACAGTAATAGCAAATTTTTTTATAATTTTTTTTTAATTTGGATGAACAGTACTATCTCAAATGAACAGTAACTTTAAAAATTATTTTTCCGGATTTAAATCAAAAGCTATAAACATATCAATCTTCTAGATTGTTGGAAATTTATCAAATAAATAAAGATTATAGCATGAATTTAAACCCGGAAATTAAATAAATAATACATCAAAGATAGATAATATAAATTAGAGAAACAGGCCTGACGGGAGCAGTCGTGTAAACACTGTCCTAGAAGATTGAGGACCCGCCTATCGCCCTGGCGCAGATGATCCCTTCTCCCCTAGCGGTAAAACCCCCCGGAAACGGCCCGGCCTCTGCACTCGGGCGAGAGTGCAGAGCTTCAGCTCAGATGAAGAAGTTGCCCATAAAGTAAAACTAAAGTATAGATAAAAATGATATGTAGAGGAGAAAAGAAAACAAGATAAGTTTTCCACATTTTTCTTCATGTTTCTTGAGCTCAACATATGTTGTTTATATAGGGGTTGAAAAGAGCCGTTACAAAATCCCTCAATAAATTTCGTAACGTTCGTCATAATGTATAGTCATTATGCCCATTTTAATTACAAATTAAAACACATTAAAACATATTTTAATTGCATATTTTAATTACAAAAATTTATTAGAATTCATTAAGGCAAAATTACCTTTTCTTTAAAAATATCCAACAACTATTACCATAACTTTTTTTATTGCGACCGGCCAAGTTCTA